GTCCGTCGGATTTCATCACTATTGCGAAACGAACTTGAAGAATTCCAAAAACTCGTTCGACATCCTTGCGATATGCTTCTTGTTTTATTGAGAAAAATTATTCTATATACGTCCTTGGTTTCTTAATGCATTGGACTAACGTACCCCATTTAGGATATATATCATCTGCAAGATAGTAAATATAATCATATTGTGGTTATTACCATTTACTTGATAGTGAACTCTTTGAGACTTTCCACTAGTGAGGTCATCAAATAAGGTTGAACGACCAAGGACAGTTAGATCGTTTTGGGCACCGGGCACGCCAAAAAGGCATGTCATTTCCAAGTGTCAGTTGAAGCCACTGCTTCAAGAATAATCGTGGCTTTATGTTTTCTTCCAGTAAAGCTCTCTTGCCAAGATGTTGGACAGTTTTTTCCAGGTCCAGTGCATACAATCCAATGAGTCAATCATTCCATGGAATCCACGTCGTTCCGCTCTGTCAAGAAGTCTTGCAAGATCCTCTTTCGTTGGAGCACGAAAGTACTTATTTTCATACAATTGCAAAATTACTATGAAAAATTCGCGCATGGTCTCGGCCATTGTGGTCTCTCCCATTGCAAAAATTATGTCAATCGCATCAGCGGAGTACGCATAAGCCAACATGCGCATAGCAACAGTAACCTCATGGATGAGTGAAAATCCAAGTTGACCCTTTCTATCAATTTTTTGTTGAAATAATGTATTTGAGCGCTCGCATGCCTCAACCATATGTAAGAATAGTGATCGATTCGTCCGAAATCGGCATCGAAAGTCACATGCATCATAAATAGGTTTTGGAACAAAATAGTCAGCAATAAGTTGGTCGTGATTTACTTTTCCATTGCGATGTTTATATTTGCGTGTTGAAACTGAACCACCTCGTACAATCTCAGTAGGATCTGGAGCAAAGTATTGATGAGCAATTGCGTTATGCATGTTAAATTCTTCTTCTGATTCGTTTTGTTCTTAATCCATTTGCTTATGAAATTCATAAAAATTAGAACTAGAACCATAATTCATTATTATAATATTATTTTGTTGTTGAAACTATTTCTCGATAAGCTATAGTGTAATGAAGTTTAGTTTCACTGCACTGAATCTTAAATAAATAGCATTCTAATAAATTATAAAATCCTTACGTAATCTGAACTACTAATCATTACATGACATATATTATATCAATTATACATATAAGTTAAAAGGCATATAAGTTAAAGTATACATGACACGTCTAGCATTCAAGTATACAATCATGCAGGAACTCACATGGCATTCAATTGTACATGACATTCATGCAGAGACTCGAATGCATAATTTTAAACCCATTCTCTCCAATTACTTCATTTTAAAACTAAAATAAACAATCCTGGAGAAACTCACATACATTGTTCAGCATAATTTTTAAGGGTTTTTTGCAAAAACCACCACTGTGTAATCTCGAATTGCAGAAAACGACCTCGTGTTAAAATAATTAGCAAATACGCCCCCTATAAAAATTAGTCAAAGGCAATAACGCCCTTAAGAGCTCACCGTGCACTTCACTCGCCATGGATGAGAGTGGGGGTTCGTTTTTTGACACGACATACCAAAATGCAACCAGAAATTTTATAAGTACCAAAATGAAGTTTTTAAAATTTTCAATTGAGTCCTTTATATTTTCAATTAAGCCATCTTCTTCAACCTCAAGAGCAAACCTCCAATTTTTCACCATGATTTTTTTCCAGCAAAAACCATCAACCAAATCCATATCAGAACATGAAGTTCGTTTCTATTCGAAATCCAAGAAAACAAACGAGAAGAAAAACGGCGCATCAAAATTTTTCGGCACATCCCTGCCCAAACAAAAAAATATACAAAAACCCTTCAAAGAACTTTCTTCCAATTTCCATAGCATTTTCTTTCAATTTGTAAAAACTTAATTCGTACCTTCAGGAAGAAGAAGAAGAAGAAGAATGTCAAACTCGAAGAATCATTTGCCGACTCTCCGATTCCACCACGCCACCGCCACTGCCTTTCAATGCCACCACCGCTACTTGAGCTTCTGAATCCACAATTTCCGTGTACCGAAAATTGCCGTTGCAACACTTTTTTCTTCGGATTTGAAAAAAAAAAAAACGATCCCCACCCACCATTGTCAGCAACCATTCTTTTCCTTTTCCTAGACGTGCAATGAAGATGAGAGAAGCTGGTTTGCTTCGTTTTGTGTGATAATTTTTTTTTCATTTCTTTTTGTTTAAAACTGAAAATTACTAAAAACATATTAGGGGTAGTTTAGTCATTTCATATAAGTCAACCATCAATTTTGAAATAAGGGGCGGTGTGCTTCGTAAAACACAACATAGGGGGGTCCTTGCTAATATTTTTAACACGAGGACTTTTTCAGCAATTCGAATTTCACAAGGGGTTATGTGCAATTAGCTCTAATTTTTAAAGTCATTTATTTCCAATAAGGGTATTAAAGTCATTTATTTCCAATAAGGGTAGAATAATTATATATTTTACGGGGTGGAAGAGTGCGTCCATTTAGGTTCTATATAAACGGCATGTCCTTTTTTTCATCATACATCATCCATATTTAAACAGAAAAAAAAAATACACCAAAGCACATAATATATATATATATATATATATATATATATATATATATATATATATATATATATATATATATATATATGTGTGTACTTCTCCTGTAAGAATGGCACCCACGAGTTGGTCGCAAGATGAAGATGTAGCTCTCACCAAAGCATTTTATGCGGAAACGGAGGATCCAATTCACGGTGCAAGTCAAACTAAAGGTGGCCTATGGAAGAATGTCATATCTTCCATTAAACAAATGTTCGACACCGCGAGAAAACTATATACTAATAGAACAAGAAATTTGGTACAACGTCGGTGAAAAAAAACATTTTTTTCCACAACTGAACAAATGGAACTCGGCTCTCAAGAAAGCGGTATGGTAGAACTCTTGTAGATGAGGTACATGTTATTATAATATTTTTTTAAAAAATTTATGCTCTATATATTGAGGGTATTTAGGACATTTGGTGGGTAATCCTTTCATGTGAGTGAAAACAAAAATGATACTAAATTGTCATGCTTCTTTATTCAACAAAAGCATATATGAGTTACAAAATGACACAATCATCTCCACCACAATTTATTTAATAAATACTATGTGCTATTTGATAAAACCCCCTCATTGGATTTCAACTTCTTGATAAATCCATTTTTTGTAATTGATATTTGACATCAATCCAATCAATCCAAAATACCTTATATGCCCCAACGAACTATGCCAATAAATTAAAAAAAAAAAAAAAAAAAAAAATCTGTTGATAAATGCAAATCCCCCCTAATTAATAGTACCGAAACATCCTCCAAAAAATTATGCCCCCAGTCACGCTCCGAATCCACTCAAAAATTATCGTTTGTTCACTGTTTACACCAAGCCCACACAACAATGGAGATTATTTTTCTAAGGGAAGAAACTGATAACAGACTAAAAACACATTTGTTTAGGAAGCCACAGTTATTCGTAATCATTAGCACGATGTATGGTTCAACAATCAGAGACAAAAAATAATTAATTAGTGTCGTGTGTTTGTTGATTTAAACCAATTAGTTGAAAATTGCAAGTAATTTACATGATTGTTCTTCATTTATTCTACATGTGCTTCTCCCCATTCCCAAATTATTTCAGGAAGGAGAAAATTGAAGACACATGAAAATCACTCTATATAGACAGCTATTTAAAAATGAAAATCACTCTGTATAAACAACTATATAAACATGAAAACCACTATGTATAAACGGCTATATAAACATGAAAACCGCTATGTATAAACAGCTATATAATCATGAAAACCACTATGTATAATAGTTATGTAAACATGAAACCACTTTGTATAATTACAAATTCGTTTTCTTGCTCTGATAAACAATAACATAACGTTCACGCAAAATAAACATGTTCATACATCTACAATTCTCTCGATAACTCTGATTGAGATTTTGGGGTTGATAACTCTACAAAGTGAATCGAACAACATCAACACCCTAGCAATCCCAGAGATCCCTGTAGTGCCAAGTGTAGCTAGGAGAGAGAGAGAGAGAGAGAGAGAGAGAGAGAGAGAGAGAGAGAGAGAGAGAGAGAGAGAGAGAGACGTATATTAAAATTATAAGGATTCGAAGTCTGCAATCAATGAGCGGGAATCGTGGGATAAGTTAAGAACGTGTTATTTAAGATATATATGGAAAATATATTATATATATTTTAATATTAAAATTAAATATATGTTATTTCTTAGTTAGGGTATAATGGTGACAATTAAGTGTTTTTAATTAATAAAAGTTATTTTGGATTTATCTTAAAAACGTAAAATTAAATTGGGCTCGTTGTAATGACACAATGGGGGGTTTTTATCAAATTTTCCCTAAATACTAACGTATCAATCAAGGGCGGACCCAGGGTCGTTTGTTGGTGGGCGAAAGTTTGGGAAAAAATAAACAATCCCTTTACGGAGATTCGAGGGTTGAGCCCCAATTTTTCGGGATATTTTATATAATATGATCATTGATTGTATCATTATCTAAATTTCCTAGCAAAAACTAAATATTTAAAAAAAATAAAAAATATATAATATGATCATTGTATAATTATTTAAATTTCCTAAATTAATCATGGATTATAAGAGGGTAATTTATTTTTTTGTGGGGCGAATATACTATAATCTAAAGTCTAAACATACATGAGTGAAAATCAATAAAAAAAAAAAAAAAAAAAAAAAAAAAAAAAAAAAAAAAGTAGGCAAAGCAAAATGCTTGCTTTGTCATTCATGACAGCAGCAGCAGATGCTTTCAAATTAATATCTAAGATAACTTTCAGTAGCAATACAAACATTCCACCAAAATGATGACCAATTTGTGCGGCACTTACAAATTAATACTAATGATTACCTAGATGAGACAATTAGTTGGCCGTAAACGTATTTCAAGAGTTGCATTATCATATTTCCTAACAAAATATACATGCTAGTACAACAACTAACTAAACCTTGGAGTAATAAATAATGCTGCTCATAATTTACTCAAATAATGTTAGAAACTTGTAAAGACGACAATACAACGAAAACGAGCCAAAGCAGCATCAAATAAAAACAAGTAAGCCAAGCCCAGTGTCTTGGACCACCGAGCTCAGCACCCAAAGTAAGTCGCCTAAATACCAAAACTCCAATACACCCTACTGATGTTGCAAAGAATATTAGCAATGAGAAGCTAAGTCCCGCCGCATTCTCTATTCTCAATGGTTTCTTATATGCAATGTAGTTGTATAACGTGTCGATTAGCCACGGTACTCCAATCCCAATATATATATTCACCGAATTGCTACATCAAATCAAATCAAACGCAACATACAGTTAGAACAAGAATGTAGCAATTCTAGTGAGAGATTCTCAAGACGAATACCAGTATAATTATGAGAGAGAGAGAGAGAGAGAGAGGAACCTGCAAGTGATATTGGCAATGGCAGAGTCAGCTGTGATCTGGCGCTCTGCTGCAATTTTGCTAGCAACTAAATCAGGCCATGAAGTTCCAGCAGCCAATGCTGTCAATGCTATGATGTATGCATTAATACCTGCATATTCAGTTAATAATTAGCTGCTGAGTCAGATCAAGAAACAACTCAAAAGTAACGAATAGTAGCAAGAATGAAGAACCTGTAACACAGCTTATAAGATCTGTAATCTTGGTCACAATATAAGCGATCCCACTTATGAAAACTAAAGAGAAAATAAAAGCAATCCATCCATTAGCAATCTGATACGGCGGTACAAAGGCGAACAGTAATCTCCATGGTGCAAGGACCAACTTCCACAAAGCCTTCGCTACCCTTAGAGATTTACTATTCAGTTTTTTTGACTCTGGGCTCTCCAACTGTTCACATACAAAATAATTTTATTCAGCAAAAAATTAATATTTCCAACTACTTGGCAGTGTTTGTTGTTTCATTGAAAGAGCGATAAAGCAGTAGTACCGTGAGAGCATCAACAAACTGCATCTTCCAGACGGAGAGCAAATCATCTTTATGAGGAATCGTATCTACACGACATTGCTCTGAGGAGGATTCATGAATGTCAGTGTCAGCCACATTTTCATACACAAAGCCTGCAGTTTAAAATGGATCAACCGTACTAATGAATGTCACAAAAGATTCCTAATGTTTTCTACAAGTGCTTCTTCCTTTTATAATAAGCTTTTATCGTTTATGATTATATATTGTTATATTTCTCAGATGATCATGCATCATGGTCCTTTTTGTAACTTACCATCGAGTCAGTCAAGGACGAAAAATAAAAAAAATAATAACTTATTCATAAAATTATGATTCGTAAAATTTGGAAATATAGGAAGAAAAAAGCAAATAAATTTGTGTATGATAAATGAGGAAACTATTCATTTAACAAGAATTACCTGTGTTAGCAGAATGGATAGAAAAAATGTCGACAATGATGCTGTTTCTATCTTCATCAACTTCCGGGTAGTTATCACGAGTCTTATTGCCATCCCTGTATGGAGCATTTTTTTCTGCAGGTACCCAGTCTTCAGGCCTCTCACTTCTTGTCCTAATTATTAATGCTACAAAATCAGAATCAAGAATGCATTTTTCCTCTTCTTGTTGGATAATATATAACCAACTTCTAATACGCTATTTAGTTTTGTGAAGAAAATAAAAAGACTAACATGGGCAGAGACACATAGGGCCAACGTTTATCTTGAGCATAAGCATGTATAAGCAGAAGACCAAATTGCGCTACTGTCAACAAAGCTTCCCACAGAGTTATCACGTTCGGCGTCCATATCTGCATAGTTGTTCAAATTGGTTTTTAGATAGAAAGATTTGGGAATTTGAAATGCAATTAAGCGCATGAGGAAGGAACAAAAAAAAAGAGTGGGGCTAACCTTTAGTATTATGTAAAGCCAAATGTAAGCCCAGAAAGACCAAAAGAGCTCAACAAGCCAAACTCCAATATCTGATATCCTTTTTAGTTCTCCGGCTTTAGGAACAACAACACATACAGCATGAATCGGAAACAAATCAAATGCAGCAGACCCCACAAGTGTTCCTGGACCTAAACCTGTTCCCAAATTCATAGTTAGACATTCAATTCCGAATACGTGTTGTCCTAATTCATCGCCTAAGTACAAAACATGCTAATCCTGATCTACGAAACATAATTCCTATTACCACTTATAAACAAACTACTTTTCTCAAACCAACGCAAAGTTAATGATTCATTGGTTTATAGAGTTTCCATCGCAAGAAGCAAAATGGCGAGTCTGATTGATACAGCAAGCAAACAAGACATACACATGTCTGTACTAGAATTTGTAATCATAAATGATGAAGAAAACTTTGATTGTAACAAAGAGCAAATGAGTGATTTTGCAGTCCCAAAAGTGGGAGTAAGAAAATATACTAAAACCAATTTTATAAAAGAATACAAGACAAATTTTTAGTTGTGCAAGAAAGTTTTCAAATAAAATTTCAAATACAAATAAAAGTTTCTATGACACAAAAGTTAAAACTCAGATTACTACTATGGTTTAGTAAATATGATAGCAAAAGATCAAGAGAGACGAACCTCCGGCAGTCAAGCTTCCAATATTCCTAATAGCATCAATTGTTGCCAAAGAAATCTGCGGAAAGCTAGTTCCGAATGCCAGCAGAGTGATGTCAGCGATGGTGTAATTCCATACCTTTTCGTATTTGATAACTTTGGTATTAGTTAAAGGATCAATCTCTTCCACAGCACGGCTATGCTTAACAACATTCTCCATTGAACGGAAGAAACGATCGGTTATAGCTGATAACCCCACAAAACAATAAGCCAGAGCCAGAAAATACAAGAAGCCTCGTAAACCGTGACTGAGCTTAGTCTCGAAATGAAATATAAAATAAAATAGGCATCTCTCGTGGCCAAGGTTGCTATCCCAAGTACTGCTACTATTCAGCGAGGCCATCTTATCTTCTGTGAACAAAGGTTTCACAGCTCAACCATGAAAACAGAAAAAATTGATCCACCCGAACAACAAGCCAACCTATTACATATATTCATATTCCAGAGTCAGTCATGAAAAAACACATAAAATTAAAAAAATTCCAAATAATATCAAAAATCATAATTTTGTAGCACGATCAAACCATAGCGGTGATTATCCAGAATTGCAATATTGAATTACCGGCAAGACTCAGAAAAAGAAAGTTAGTTGTGTTTAATAAGTTTAAGGTAGAAGGTAGTGTGATCGAAGTAGGATATTTATAGAGTTTGGTGGATGAAATATATATCGGATTAATCAATTTGTTTGGTTGCGTGATCAAACACTGCACAAAAAGAATGCTGTAAAGTAATTTGGTGAAAACAACCTGAAAAGAGATTATTCATGTACGGCGGGGATTAAGCAATAAAAACAACGTAACTCGTGTTGCCCATTCATAACCAGACAACGCAACGCAATGACTCCGAGTTAACACGGCACAACAAAAATAGTCGGTGCAATTAATTATAAATTGAAAATTCAAATTTTAAAATAAATTTGTGGAATGGAGTAAACGTGCATCTCGATAACCTGATTAATTAAAAATACAGGGAAAAGAAAAACGAGGAACCAAAAATTACCGCCGGCGTAAGAGAATTCGCGTTGAATAGATCTGATAATCCCGGCGCAGAGGAAAAGTGGAGTAGATAATAAAGAGGGTTATAGAGAAAGAGAGAGATATATATATATATATATATAGAGAGAGAGAGAGAGAGAGAGAGAGAGAGAGAGAGAGAGAAAGAGATAAATAGGGGGCCGGGGGAAGTATGAATTTGTAATGGAGCAGGACACTTATCATCCTACCAATATCGGAAAGCAGCAGTCCCGTTATAATGGTGAACTTCCTATGAAAGCCAGACTGTCCGACTACCTGATATGAATGTGCATGCTATTTATATATATTTATTTATTTATTTATTAGGAGCTAAATACGTGATTATGGTGGCTAACATAATTACTTTTTAATTAGTGCTCGACTTAATTAATCATCACATGTTATATACGGTATATACCTAGGTATGGTAAACGAGCCGAACCGACTCGTGAGTTCGATGAGCCGGCTCAGAAAAAAGCTCGAATTTGGACTCGAGTTTTTCGAGCTCGAGCTTTCCAATAAGCCGAGTTTGAACTAATTTTTAATTGTTCATGAACTCACGAGCCGGCTCGCGAGTCTTATTTATTATTTTTATTTATTATTTATTATTTATTATTTTTTATATATTATTTTTTATTTAAATAATACAAATATGATATGCCTAATTGGCCCAACCCAATAGGCCTACAAATTATTTACCTACTGGGCCACGAGCCCAATATCGAAGACCACTATCACCGAGGCCCAATCACCTTCAAGTAAGGTTTGGGCCCGACAATCTCGATTAAGCTATAAATAAAGGTTTGAGCTCATTCCTTAAGGTGCGTCATATTATCTGAGCAATATTATTAATTGTATTCTCTGGACTATTTTTATGATCAGCACGTCTGACTTGAGCGTCGGAGGGGTTTCCGCCGGATCAACCCGGGCCTAGTTCACGTGTTCTATGATCGCAAGTATCTCAAGGTCATCAAGCTCGTGAGCCAGTGATCCACTCTGCTCTTCCAGCTCATCCTACTTCAACTATCTAAGGTGATCTAACTTTAGCATCATCAAAATATTATAGAAATAAATAAAAATAAAATATAAATATTAAAAAATATATATAATTATAATTTATTGTTTCTTTTGCAATTTTTTAAATAATTTTAATCAATATAAAATAATAATTAAAAAAAAACAAAACAAAATAAGCTTGGGCTCGAGCCAAAAAAGAACGAACTCGATGAGCACGAGCTCGAGCTCAAACTCGACAAAATAGACTCGAGCTCGAACTCGAGCCTGTCAAAAGAGGCGAGCTCGCCTCGTTCACACCCCTAGCTACACCTATATATTTAGGGATAACTGGCTAGATTCTCTTACTTGGGCTTAGAACAACTTCAATGCTAAAATCAAAATTGAATTATAAATGGGGTTTTATGCATAAGTCTCTCATTAACCACCTTAATTATTTTAAAATGGATTTATTTAATTAATCATTAATTAATTATTTATTTTTCACTACAAAATAATTATTGACTCTCATTGATATTCTCAAATATTATATTTGAGTTCTCGGTTTATCATTGCTTATATTCTCCTTACATTAATATATTCTAATAACTACCAAATAATATATTCACTAAAAATTAAATTAGAAAACTACAAACAAATATAAAAATCTTTGAAGAAAAGAAGAATGCATGTCTAGGAGAAAATAAAAATCCTATGCACCAAAAAAAATATTTCTTCTCTAATCTGAAATCCTCGATGTCCGTCGGCATCTAAGTGTGATCGATAAATTGGACTCAATGACGATGATGAAGGTTATGGGTTGCACCACTGGAGTTTGATGATGAAACGAATTTCGAAGAAAACCCCGCAGTTGAATTAAATCAAAGAAGAAAATCTTTGAGTACCAATCAATGATTAACGATCTTTTTCCCTCGATTCTTCAACAATCAAAAGTATAATATGAATTTGACTTCAATTTGTTCACGAATCTAAATTTCCTCTTTCTCTCACAATCATTTTATGAATCTGGTAATACTCCAACGAAGAACGGAGGCGGATGATGAACGATCAATGAGATATGAAAGAGAATACATAAGAGAGAAGAAAATAAAGAACGTCAAGTTGCAGATTGATATGCTGAAAAGAAGGAACGTGATTTATTTTCATACTTACGGAACTGTTAAATATAAGGGTATGATTGGGATAAATTAAAAAACAATTTTAAAGTTCCAATGATTTAGTTCACAAAAAAATAGAAACGCGCTATATTCACCGCCTTATATCTCTTTGCACCACCTACTTTAATTTATGAATAAAAAAAAATTATTTTACCACTTCATTTTAATATTTACTCTTTATCCTAAAAATAATGTCAAAACATGTAGAATTGAAACTCTCGATTCACCATAGACATAAAAATCATCATCTTCTCTTTATTCTTTTGTTTCCCATGTTTCCCGATTTTACACCTCGTGACAAAGAATTTATGGACAACAAGGCTTCTCATACTTCCAATTTTCAACCCAATCGAATATTTGGATTGAAAATCTCATAAAATAAGCAGGGAAATTATACTATATATTAATATATTTGAGAAGATTGAAGAGCTACATAAGAAAATCTATGTTTTGGAAGAAAAGATACGTGACAGAAGAATAGGTGTGGATCGTGAAGGAAATAATATGGATTGAAGTGATGGAACAAGATAATAGCGCGCACACATAATTTTATTGTTTAATGGTATTTTGGACGTTTATTAAAAGGTTTTGATAGAAAAATTTGTTACGGTGGTGAGAGGAGATAAAAGAAAAATGGATTGGAAATAGCGCGTCTCAAAAAGTTATTAGGGTTATATTTTATATCTAATTAGGTTTGGTGCAAATGACCTATAATATATTAACCCCTAATGTTTAATATATGTTTCAACTAGGAGAAAAAAATGAATTTTTATTTTCTTATTTTCGACAACAAAAATAAATATTTTAAACGACAAAAATAAATATTTCAACCAAAAAAATACAAATTTAATTTTCTTAATTTATTTTAATTAATTCATTGTGGGGCAACATTAGGTTAGAGTCTCCATATACAATCCCAAATTTAGGAAAATATATAGAAATTTTAGGTATCTATTTTAGAAACTCTCTAGTAAAATAGACTTGTTCAACCTATAGAGACTCCATTGAAGATATGCTCTAACAAGAGCAAAATGTTTTCATATCCATAAAATATAAATAACTACCTAATAGGCTAATAGATGTTTGAAATATTTCTTTAACGAAAGCAGCAAAATCGAATATTTTATGAAATATTTTATAACCTATCCATCAATCTTATAATCGAAATGCACCATAAGATTATTGGGTTTTATGAAAGAAACATTTTATTGAATGTTGAGTAGATTTACCCAAAATTGAAGGAGGAGTTTCGGATAAATCTATCTGAAATCTTGTTTCTTCTTTTTCTTCAATTTGACTCTTCTTTTCTTTCTAAATTCGAAATTAAAAA